TCATAGTAGTGGAATTAATAGTATTAGTAGTGGTAGTATTCGTAGTATTGGTATTATTAGTAGTAGTTTTAGTATTAGAAATAGTATTAGTAACAATAGTGATATTAGTAGCAGTACTAGTATTAGTGTAGTGGCATTGAGTCATAACATGGGACAATATGTGGAATAAATATTTAACATTTTACGCGGAGAGAAACCCAACGATGGACAAGGCGAGAACGTTGAATTGAATTAATCCAAGTTGATCAGATGGCATGGCTCGGCCTTGCAGTCATGGTCCCTGCTGAATGTTATCTTATATCTTTTATCCATATTACATATATTGTTCCATCTCTAGCTTAAGCTTGTTCTCCATCATGTATTGGTAATTGTTACAATGCAATGAGTTGGTATAGACGATAATGTAACTTCCACGTAAGATTTTATTGATTAGGCAGTTATATCATGATAAATCTACAATATTAGGATTAGGTCTATTATTAGAGCAGTACTAATATTATAGTAGACCATAATTCGACATTAGTACTAGTAGTAGTAGTAGTAGTAGTAGTAGTAGTAGTAGTAGTAGTACTAGTAGTAATAGTAATAGCAGTATTAGTAGTGTGGTGCGTGCTACTTATATTGATATAAGTAGTACATAACACGAGTCACGAATGTACTGTCTGGCAGCAGAAGACTGGGGAGATCAAGAAAGTAAGAGTGGGAATAAAAAGCAGTTAATATGGAAATGCAAGAACAATAAAGTCGGAGACGATTATTGAACATTTTGCGAATTAAGTATTATAGTATGCTTTTCCTATTTTACCAAGTAAGTCTAATTTGTGTTGAATATAAATCGGTTGTCCTCACCTGTGTTCTCCTTCACTAAATTAGTAGTAGTAGTAGTATTAGTGCTTGTACTAGTAACATTATTAGTAAATTATTAAAAGGCGTTTTACTATTTGTTCTAGTGGTAGTAGTGTTAGTAGTAGTGAAAGTGGTATTAAGGTAGTAGTATCATTATCAGTAGTAGCAGCAGTGTTATTATTTATAGTTGTAGTAGTATTAGCAGTTCACCCTTTCTCTCTTTCCTGGTGATCGACTTGATCATGAAGACGTCAACATCTGAAGGAAAGCACGGGATACAGTGGACAGCTAGGATGCAATTGGATGATCTAGACTTCGCAGATGATCTGTCTCTTCTATCGCATACGCAACAACAAATGCAGGAGAAGACAACCAGTGTTGCAGCAGCCTCAGCAGCAATAGGTCTCAATATACACAAAGGGAAAAGCAAGATTCTTCGATGCGACACAACATGCACCAATGAAATCACAATTGACGGAGAAGCTTTGGAAGATGTACAAACCTTTACATATTTGGGCAGTATCATCGATGAACACGGTGGATCTGATTCAGATGTGAAGGCACGGATCGGCAAAGCAAAAGCAGCATATTTACAACTGAAGAATATCTGGAACTCAAAACAATTGGCAACCAACACCAAGGTCAGAATTTTCAATACAAAAGTCAAAACAGTTCTACTGTATGGGGCGGAAACCTGGAAAACCACGAAAGCTATCATCCAGAAGATACAAGTGTTTAATAACAGTTGTCTACGGAAAATACTTGAGACCCGCTGGCCGGACACTATTAGCAACAACCTACTGTGGGAGAGAACAAATCAGATCCCAGTGGAGGAAGAAATCAGGAAGAAGCGCTGGAAGTGGATAGGACACACATTGAGGAAAGCACCCAACTGCGTCACAAAGAAAGCCCTCACATGGAATCCTTAAGGCCGAAGGAGGAGAGGAAGACCAAAAAATACATTTACACCGAGAAATGGATATAGGTATGAAAAAAAATGAACAAGAATTGCATGGAACTGTAAAAGAAGGCCTAGGACAAAGTGGGTTGGAGAATGCTGGTCGGCGGCCTATGCTCCATTGGGAGTAACAGGCGTAAGTAAGTAAGTAAGTAAGTATAAGCAGTCGTAGTAATATTAGTAGTAGTAGTAGTAGTAGTATTGATAAAAGTTTTAGTCGTATTAGTAGAATTATTAGTAGTTGTATTAATATTAGTAGTATCATTAGTAAACCAAGTAGTAGTATAAGTGGTAGTTTTAAAAGTAGTATTAGTATTAGTAATAGGGTAGTAATATTTGTGTTCTGGTGATCCAGAAAATTTCTCGCAAAAGACAAGTAAAGAGCAGAAAAACACTAAGAAGCATTTTATTCAATCAGCGTTCACTTGAATTTCTAGCCAGAAATATCAAGGAAGTAAAAATTGTAGAGGTTCTGATTGGCTGATTGCTATACTGCTACCATGTTTATCAGTATTCCAGAATCTTCGAGCAACCCAAGGACATTAAAAATATTATAAAAACCCTATGTTATCTGTATTAAAAGGAACCTATGGAGTAAAGTACTTCTCGCATGCTTTACCCCTTCTCTCTCGTGTTCAGGTCGCTGTATAGTTCTAGCTTGGGGGTTACAGAATAGCTTGGGAACGAATTTAGCGTTCAATTTGCAGGACTTATCAGTTTGTAGTTGTAGTAATAACGTTATTATTATTAGTATTACTAGTATTAGTAGTGGTATAAGTAATAATAGTAGTATTAGCAATAGTAGTAGTAGTAGTAGTATTGGTAGCATTAGGTCTAGCCTTTGAAAATCATCTCATCGCTGGGATATGCCAGATCATATGAATCAGGAAGGCACACACTGTTGCGTATCACACAGAAGGTAACGGCCTCGTGAAAAGAACAAACAGAACTATTAAAGCCATCTTACAGTCGTTCGTCAGCAGATCAAGGCTTTTCAAATAAACGACTGGTGGTTTCCATTTCGTGTTCTCTCTCTCTCTCGGTGCGAAGTTCTCGGTTAACATTGTGTGCGTTGTGCTCTCAGGTATTCTCCGCCTTCCAGTGACTACTGATTGCACATGTTACATAGACAGAACGTTCACTGTCGAGAGCTGCTCCTTGGCTAAGTGAAGCATGTTGGTTTCTCTATATTATTGGCAAAGTGTTCCGCTTTCTCACATGTATACCTTTTTGTGAAAGTTCTGATAAATAATTGTCTGTCTATAACTAACAGCAACAGAGGTCGAAACACTTAAATATCTTTCAAAATACTCACGTAATTCTATCAATGTTTGTCGTTATTAACGCTTGGCGGCCATATCTCCTTTATGTGGTGGTCAACTGAGATGAACTTCATCGAGATGGTTTGCATCATTACTTAAAGCGTAAGGGACGAATATCTTTATGTCAACTATAGTTGACAATCTTTTGGAAAAAATTCGATTCTACACAGGGATGTTTATTGTGGATAATATAGTGTTTTGAATCGTGTTGAATTGTCTATTTCTTTTATAGTCATCTTAAAAATAGCGATTTTATTCCCGATTTTGCCCATATAATAGTGAAAATCAATTCTGAGTAATCGTCATGAACTTGTTGGTAGTGTTAATAGTCATAAATGTCGTCAGTTAATATGCTTATCCGGTAACGTCTAGATTTAATATATGGTTTTTCAGCTTAAAAGTACTGAGGCTACAACAGCTGAGCGTGTATCTCATATCATATACAGAAGACAGGAAGTCGTTACATATGTATTCTTCATCTTTTAACACCGAGAATTATCATCATTGGTGGGTGCATAACACTGGATAAAATTCATTGTAATTCCCTCCTTCTGTGTTTTGAATGATGCTTTGAAAATTCTGGATCCGTGAGATTCCCATCCTACAAGTTCATTTCGTGCTTGCATGGACAGCATCAGAGCAACTCCCTGAGTGTGGAGCATTTTCCTCTTCGTGACCGGAGTATAGCAGCATCTCTCCCGTATTTAACCTTTGTTTTCAAGCTTGTTTCCAATAGGTTTCGCTGATTCCGAGTACTTCCAAGTTGTATCTTCAAATTTCCGTTGCTATTTGTCTGGTATTTCCGGTCTTTCACATTTTCTAGACGTTCATTGTACCTTGTAATCTATTGGTATGTGATAGATATATTTGAGAACCGAATATCTAACACTTTAGAAACCATAAGGCGATAAGATTGTATCTCACAAAGTCCATTCTATTAGCGTAGTGGTTAAGTGCTCAAGCTCGATACAGATAGGTCCTGAGTTCGAATATCTCGAGAAGCGGGATCGTGGATCTGGACTACTGAGGAGTCCTACAATAGGACGAAATGGTCGTTTAGTGCTTTCGGGTTTCCCATGGTGATCTAGCTTCAATTGGTTCATGATCTCAACCACTGAAATTACTACAGTTTCCACAAAACCCTTTCTGAAATTATTTTTAGCCGACTATGGTCTATACTTTACGTGTCATAATATGAGAACGGTTTTTATGATTATAAAAGAAATACTGGTCTAGAACTCACCATTTCAAATTTGATATCATTTTGTTTTGAGAACTTTTGAAAATTAGTAAGCACAAGATAAATGCTTCATTCGGAACCCTACCGGGGTTCGATCTCAAAGCCATCAACCTCTTAGTGGACTTTTAATACATAGACCGTTTAGTTAATGCCTAATGTTTCACTATTCTAGCTTCAATTGATTTAAAATTTTACGCAATCATCATCCCTTCCTTAAAATCATATTTGGTTCATGTTTAACATCGTCAAACTTCACTCGAACTCCATGAATTAATTCCCAAACTTACCAAACAATAATCTGTCATAGATCACCAGTTCTCTCAATATTACAGGTACACTTTATTGATGAGTGTTAAAGAGTAAAAAACCTGGATCCAGAGTTACCTGTTAACTACCTTCAATCCACTATTGTATCTCAATAAAGTGTACATAATATGAATTCACGTGGACTGATGATCACATTACAACTTGGTCTATAGTATTCAATCTGTACTAAGAAGGACATAACACATATGACATTGATCACTACCCAATAATCATTCAATTGTGAATAATCAAACCATAATGATATTATATCATTATGTTTATAATGAATGTTATATAATGTTAATGAACTATGAACAAGGGAACAATAAAAATTGTTAATCATACATGATGTGATTTATATACACATGTTCAATGTACAATGTCTTATAATACTTCTTTATTGTTTTGTTTTTCTTTTTTTTTTTTTTGTTTGAAAAAAAAAGACAAAATTATTTCTAGATATTGAAAACAGTGAATGATTTTTAAAATAAAAACAAAAAAGAAAAAAAATAAGGAAAGAGAAACATTGAAAATTATTTTTATTTCTATTCATCATTATGAAACTTTTATTAAATGATTCTTTAACATTATTGAATCTATCAATAAATGATAATGATATAAATTATTCAATAAATAATAAACAATTGAATATTGAACATACTACTACCACTACTACTACTACTACTACTACTAATAATAATAATAATGAAGCATATTTAAATCATACAACTAATAGTACTATTTCAACTACTGAATCTATGACTTACGACACTTGGATAGATAATACAACAACAATAACAACAACAACAACAACAGCAACGACAACAACGATAATGACGAATATAACAGACAATATAACTATAATGAATGATACTATAAATAATAATACAATAGATAATTATAATGACAAGTTAAAAACAATCACTACATATCCTACTAATAATGTAAATTCTAAGAAGATCAAAGAAATTGATATGAATTCATGGTTATCATTTACATTATCAACACCATATATATCACGTATAGAAGATAGTGAATCAAAACATAATTATAGATCATTTTCAGCACCAGTTGATATAACTTATACAAAAAATGGACAAGATATATTGAAACATCAAGAATTAGTTTTAAAATATCCAACTGAAAGAACTAAACATAAAGGATGTAAGTTTATGATGTTTTCTAATTTTCTTTTTTGTAGTTTCATTGATTGACTTTAGTTCAACAACGATAGAAAGTTAAGAAGTATTAAGTAGATCTAATGTTCCATTTTGAGACTTTCTATTAATTTCAATGATTAAGATCATGAATCAGTTGAAGCTAGACCAGCATGAAAAACCTGGAAGCACTGGACGGCCGTTTCGTCCTGTTATCGGACTCCTCAGCAGTGCGCATCTATTAACTTGAATTCGATACCCTATTGTAGATTGAACTTAGGATATATATATATATATATATATATATATATATATATATATCTCGTAATGTGGGCTTTAGTTTCATGTCAGTCAACTGTTCTTTAATGATCTAGTTTGATATATTTTACTGTTTATAAATCATAGGTTAAGGGATAATAAAGTATATTTGAGAATGAGATACAATTGTGTGATTGAATTTCATTTCAGGTTGATTTTCTGATTCCTATGGTATTTCTAATGAACTAATTAGTGTTACTTGTTGATTGACATCGATCAAATTATAAGATTTTAGTTCATCTAAGTAAATTAACATCGTGTTCATTAAGATCTGATGTACAATAGTTGGAAAAATATCAGTGAGTAACCTTGAAACTTAGTTTGTTGTTGTTTGTTACCTATCATAAATCTCAAGAAAATTGATGTTCCCTATAAAATTCGGACCCATGTCACTCAGTTTCACAATAAGGGAGATTACCAAAGGAGTATACTAGTCACAACTTGTCTCCTAATGAAATATAAGCATGATCAGTAGAGTTCCATCAACTATAGTATAGGCTAAACAAAGATTACATTTGTTAGTATTCAGTGATCAGAAAGTTTTACAATAAAAATAGAGCATAAACAGATTAAAGGATAGTACATTTTTGAATCAATTCAAGATCATCACTTTACTAAAGATTGCAAATAGATCTTGACAATGACTATCTAGTAGCATGAAGTATATTATCAAGCAAAGGTTTCTGATGATTATCTTCAACAGCGTCATTTGTTTTGACTTATAGCATAATGAAGACAATCAAATGATTAATGCTTTATTATAACTGTAAATCTCAATTACTCATATGAATTTATTGTCGTTAATAATTTACTTACTTACTTACTTACTTACGCCTGTTACTTCTAATGGAACATAGGCTGCCGACCAGCATTCTCCAACCCACTCTGTCCTGGGCCTTCTTTTCTAGTTCCATCAAATTCTTGTTCATTTTTCTCATATCTATCTCCATTTCCCGGCGTAATGTATTCTTTGGTCTTCCTCTCCTCCTTCGACCTTGAGGATTCCATATGAGGGCTTGTCTTGTGACGCAGTTGGGTGTTTTCCTCAATGTGTGCCCAATCCACTTCCAGCGCTTCTTCCTGATTTCTTCCTCCACTGGGATCTGATTTGTTCTCTCCCACAGTAGGTTGTTGCTTATAGTGTCCGGCCAAAGGATCTGAAGTATTTTGCTTAGACAACTGTAAATAAACACCTGTATCTTTTGGACGATGGATTTCGTAGTTTTTCAGGTTTCCGCGCCATACAGTAGAACTATCTTGACATTTGTATTCGTTAATAATTTAATTAACCTAAAATTCACTTATTAACGGTTTGTTCTGTTCAAACAATTATCGACATGTTTACATATTTTAGCTTTTTTTTTTCTTGAAATTCCTACAACCCCAAAGTCTTACATTGTTTCATAAAATCTCTTATTTTGTACATATGAACCGATTTACATAGAAAAGCTTTCTCTGTACCATCTTCAAGAAGTAGGAGACTTCCTCATTTGGGAGTTCTATGTTCAAGGATTTATATATAACAGATATAACACCAACATATATGTGATATATTTCATTGTCACAATGTTACTGATTTTCTACTTGAAAGTTGTTTGTTAATTTAAAAACTATTCATCCATGAAATGGTCAAGAAGATTTGTTGCTCAGATGAATGATTTTGATGAAGTGTTAATTCTTTGAACTAAATAGTTTAATTGTAGAAATTTCATTATTCTTTTAAACAACCTCATTAGCATAAACTTTACATAGAAATTATTTAAAAGAACAATAAAATCTTCACAAACCAAACTATTTAACTTAGAGAATAAAACTTCATTGAAAAAAAAATTTATTAACCTTAAAATGTAGTATAATCTAGAACAAGAGATAAATGTCACGTTTTTAGCCTAAAACACTTTAATATACTTTAGTTTTATAGTATTCTGTCATATAGAATTTATTTCTATAATATTTCAAATTGATTAGTAAAATTAAAACTGAATTTTCACTGGTTGAAATCATGAATCCATTGAAGCTAGACCACCATGGAAAACCTGGAAGCACTGGACGGCCGTTTCGTCCTGTTATGGGACTCCTCAGCAGTGCGAATCCACGATCCCGCTCCTCGCGAGATTCGAACCCAGGACCTATCAGTCTCGCGCCAGGCGCTTAACCAACTAGACCACTGAGCCGGCATCCAACGGTGTTAATGTCTAACTTCAACCAATCCACGAAGTTGCGCCACCGTACACCATTGTCTTCAGTGAGCTGATATCTCATAACAGACCTGGTTGAAAAAAAAACAACTGAATTATCTGTTTATTCAATATTCAATAATTTCTCTGTTACATTTTTGTTTGTTATCAAAAAGAAAAAAAAACAAAGAAAAAAATTACAACCCATTTTGTTTTTATTTTTTCTCTATTAAATATATATATATATATATATATATATATATATATATATATATATACATAACAAACATTTTCTACAACACGTTTGTTCTCTAGGTAATTTGTTCACATTCCATGGCATTGTCTTTCTTTTCTTCTCTTTCTCTCTCTCTCTCTCTCTCTGCCCCTTTCCCTCCCTCTACCTCCCTCCCCCCTCCCCCCTCTCTCTCGCTCTTTCTCTTTATCTCTATCTTACCCATTTATTCTGTTTTATTTTTTTGTACTACTATCAAAGATATATTTTTTCTTTTTTTTTATTTAAATGGTGTCTACCGTGTGTATATGCATGAAAATTGGGCTGAAATAAATTTCTCTTTAGATAATAAATAATAATAATAATAGTAATAATAATAATAATAATAATAATTAAGGTCTTTAGTTTATAAGAGAGAAGAAAATCATTGATTTATTGATTATATGTGACAAGTATTTTGATGATAGTAATAAGAAGTGAAAAGTTGAGATACATGTGTTTTGTTGTATTTCAGAACTTATTCAATGATTACATTGTAGCGGTAAATAAATCCCTATAATATTTGTTTTAATGGACTCATCTAGCTGAAGGTGTTCGGTCATGCATCCGCACCAGATCATGAATAAGAATGCTGAGCTCAACATCTAGTGCAACCGCTAATCAGATTAGATCAAACGATCCTTGATATTATTGATAGCCTATCAAATATATCCTCGAACCTCATCGTTTCTGTTTTTTTTTGATTTCACTTGGTGGGTACGATTCATAATAGAAGGTGTTACTGGTTAAAGCGTTATCAAACTCCGAATCCCTGTGGCATATTCAACATACTTACGTATATACTTCGTGGTGTTGATGTCTATAATGTGACTTGAATTCTGAATGTTTTATAGTTTGCATGTCATGGCTATATGTATAGGTGGCTAAATTTCCTCAAAACTGATAATCAGGAATGATAGAATTAATAACCTTGTTGGGATGTGCATTCCATGAATGAATGTCTATTTAATATAATGATTATATTTTACAGTAAAAGGCTGTGGAAATTATTAAACTTCATTGAAGTGATGAACCGAGCAATGTTAGACCACCACTGAAAACTTGTAAGCACCAAACGACCGGTTTGTTCTGGTATGAGACTTCTCAGCAGCATCCAGCCACGATTCTGCAACCAGGAATCAAACCAAGGAATTTCATTCTCTTATGCGAATGCCTGGTCTATAAACCAGTGAGTCTTCAACTAATGGTAGGGCAGTTTAACATCAATGAATATGCAAAATTGTACAATCATCTTCCAACTTTTTCACTTAATAAGTCCCTCCCATAAAACACGGTTGAATACCACTGGTCATGGCTGACAAATCCTGCAATCGGATGAAAACGCCGCTCACTGATTCTAGGTTTTCAATGGTGCTCTAAAGTTGATTAGTTCATAATTTAAATGTGATGTCTTATTTGGTTAGACATTACATTAGTAATGACCTTGATCTAATACATATGTGTCATTTAGTTAGGGAAAACGAAGTTGACTCATTGTGTGCTGTCAATACAAATGTATTCAATATACAATTGAAGATACTCATTCAACGAATCTATATCTCAGCACGGATATTAATTCTATAAGTCATGATGAACAGTACTGAGAAAATATAAGTAATTTTATTAGTCGTTATGAAAATATGGATTAATAAGTGTCCAGAATTAAAGTCCAACAAAAGATATCACCAATAGGTCATGTAAATAGACTTAAATAATACAGTCTAAATATAAAATATATCAAGAATTTATAAACAATACAAATTATTTTTAAAAATAAAAATCAGCTCTAAAATTTTTCCAATCTATGGGCTTCCATTATAATAGGCTGCTCTCCAATAGGCGGATCACACGATATAATAATTGGCGACGGGGTAGAAAAAAATTTCTGAACCCTCAATCTTCAACGTTAACCTGTAATTGGACGAGATTCAGTCTAATTATTTTCGAGCAATCAGCATTCAGTTTTGTCATCGGCGCCCTTGAAAGACATTGGTCGTTAATTAATCATACAACATTTCTCATTGCCGTGCTGATTTAGAAAATGGCAATCTCTCCCGATCAATTACAATTGCTATTTGAGCGACAGCAGTAGCGGTTCAAAAATAGCCAGCTGAATGTTTTAGACAATTTACGTACACGGCTGCTAAATCATCCATGTTTTGGAGATGTTACAGAAGTTGATAAATTAATTTCTAATTTGCGAACCGAGCTGGAAATTGACTGCAGTACATATGAATGTGTTGATAAAAGCCTCTATGAATCCTTGATGAGCAGTAATGTAAGTGAAGCAGTCATTCATGATCCGCCCAGTGATCCAGAAATGTCCACTCCAAAAACATGCCCAGTAATGGATCCAAACTCCATTATCCTTGAAACAGCATGTACAGACAGTGATGTATCCAGCTCACAAAAGGACGCCCTGCTAAATGCTCATGTAAGTGTCGCAGTAACCGCCCATGAAACAGAAAACAAATCGTGCAGTACACTGAATGCAGCTGCACCAAATGAAGCTCATCATTCCGCGATAGAAGTTCCTGACGAATCTAATCGCGATTCCCTTGATTTGCCAGAAAATATGTCATATGTGTCAAATAATGATCAAGAACCTGATTCAGTTTTGATGGACGCTGATTATCACAGCGATCCACTATCTACTAGTGATATTCTTGATAAATTTGATGATAATCTTTCCGAAGAATCAAAACTCGATGACCTCATGTCAAGCGTCGTTCACCCTCACCACTTAGTCATGCTCAGTCGATTTCTTGTGCACTGCGACAAATATATTTTAATTAAAGTCAGATCGATTGTATTTTGGGTATATGAGGACCCAACATTGTTTCGTGGGGGAGGATGGACCCGAGAAACTTATATTCCGGATATCAGGTCCGGATCTTCAAAGAAGGGGAGGTGTTTGGGTATTCAGAAAATACCCCAGAAATTATCTAATGCTATTCCTGAATGAGAAGTAGTGTCACACGATATAACACATTAAACGTAAACACTTGATTTAGATACAATAGATCAATGTATAACTTGTTGAAGTTTGAATAGAACAGTAATGCTTTTGAATCTCACTGTGAATATGAATACTAAGGCATAGTAACTGTCAGTTGACAGGGTCTAAATAAAACAACACACTCATTATGAACTTAGTTGATATGCACAATTCATCTATTTTATGATTGAAATTTGCTTCTAATGTCAGTGATTGTTAAGTATAGATCATATATTTTACACATAAAATATATCCTGGTACCAACTAACTGAAACTTCTGATATACATATGAACGAATTTTAACAAAATTTTTCCATTCATTTGTTGTGCTTTCAATGTTTTCTTTTCATAATATAATGTCTCATTTACGTTTTTATCTAATTCCAAGTATCCTATGGTGGTGTCGTCAGTCTTTCTATATTGGGGGTCACTTTCGGTTTATTATTACTAATTTGGTTTTGTAAACGTTGTTTGTTGAAAAAACGTCGATTAAAAAAAGATGGTAAAAAAATGTCATTAGCTGGTGGAAAATTAGCAGCTGATTTAAAAACAGCAGCTCATTTATCAGAAGCATTAAAAAGTCAAGTAGGTTTGACTATTATTTTGTGTTTAACCTTTTTCATGATTATTAAAAAAACATATTGGTAGGCTGCATTCATCCCTGATAGATTTTAATTTGCAATACTGTTGAGAAGCAGAAGATATCAGAAAGCTGTTTTGTTCTGGTAAAAGATTCTTTGATAATAGACACCTACCACTCTACCAAGAATAGTACACAGAACCTTCAGTTCTAAATGCTGACGTTTAGTTACTACACCTAGTAGGTCAGCAGTCAGTAGTATTATTTCAACTAAAATTAATTTGGCTATACAAACATTTAATTCCATTTGTTACAACCGTTTGAGACTACTCATCTACATGAGTTTGACCCAGCAGCTGTTGGCTGTCTTTATGCATGTTCACCTCTAGTCACTTCTCAGTGCATATAACACACCATAATCCGGTACTGACGACTACTTCTAGCTCTTGAAATTATTTCGTCTGTGAATTAAATCTAAATGAAAAGTCATTTGTTGATCTATAAAACCAAATAAATGTTCATAGGTGATTGTTGTGGATAAGTAAAACTGTAGTAAAACAAATGAGCATTGTATCAAGTGATGTAATAACTTTTAAAAATACTTGTAATCTACAAGTATGTGATAGATCCAGTTGAAAACCAAATATCTAACACTTTAGAAACCATAAGGCGATAAGATCTTATCTCACAAAACCCACGCTATACAATCTGAAACCTACAGGGACTATGGAGCGTAAACTGTATGATCTTCTCAAAGTTCATAAAAACTGGCTCATTTCTCCGATTATTCTTAAAAATGAGCAATTCTGAATGTGGAGTAACGCAGTTAAATAGATGATGTAAATGACAAATCTACTGTATAAATAAATAATTAATAGGAGATTAAAACAGTAAATCTGAGTCTAATGATGTTAAGAAAAATGGCAATCGAAATAACTCCATGATGCCATTTTGTGTGTCGTCTTATTAATTGACTGATATTCTATTTCCTAAACAGTTGGATTTAGTTGCAGAGAACGGTGGAACTCTATTTTATGGACGACCTTTGAACGTACGTTTAAGTGACCTTGAGAACATTAGCCAATCAGAGAAGAGTATAAAGTAAAAATATAAAAAACTGATGAATTACAATGGATATTCTTCTTTTACATGATTTAACAACTTGTTAAGGTTTGATAATGGTTCAGAAGTTTTGAAATCATAATGCATGCGGTATAGGAACTCGTCCATATGGCTCCATAATAATCGTCATCTGGAGCCGTGGTAGGGTCTTAAAAAATACTTCAGCCTAGACCACATGCCTTCAATATTGTTTGTATGAACCCCCGTCGTTGGATCGACAAAATGACGTTTGTGCACTACAACATGATGCACAAAACCAAGTCTTGAGAGGCATCTATACGCTTTCCAATCATCGGTATAAATCGTGGTGCCAGGCTGAACGTACTCCTTGATGATTGGTATTATTGTCGTTACCTTACGGTCTCTCACTCTTTGAAAATGTCCCTTTTGAGTTGAACGATCGTAAAATCCAAGTACCTGTCAAGTATATTCACGGAAGTTCTACTTACCCAATCTTCCTTGATAAAACGTCCTTTGTTGTATTTTCGCTTTCTAACTACTGTCTCATCTATTTCCACTATTTTTCCAATTCCTCCAAATGATTCATGTACTCGTGTCATTTTCATTGAGCATATATCACAGCAATATTCATACCACTGAACGAAGGAAGTTTCCGTAACATCTGCAAAAGCCGCAGCTAATGTTACTGGAGACTTTATGATCCAATTTGCAAAAATTATCATAATTTGTCTTAGCCTGAGCCGTGACCGGGAAAAGAAAGTGCCAGTTCGAGCAGATTTTTTTCTCCAACATATAGTACAACGAGATATGATGTCATCACGGTAGTCTTCACATCGTTCTGCAGTCATTTGATTGCCGCAGTCACAGATACAGGAACTTCTTAATAGTCCCATCTGTTGCAGTCGCTCAACAATCACCTCTTCTCTAAAATCTGCCGTAAAACGATCGAATGTGAGCATCTCGCATTGAACTTAGCGCCGTGACCTTGAAATTCCTCAAACGCTTCTGATTGGCTCGTCCATAAATTAGAGTCCTACCGATTAAATAGTTATAATTTGCATCGTGAAATAATCCACTGAAAGAATTTTAAAGTACCGAATAATAGCTGACTGGGTATATGAACACGATAATATATGAGGAATTTGATTTGTTCACTTGAAAAGAAAATGAAAGTGGAATTCAAGGTCAAAAAGTTGTTGATGATTTGTGTACTTTTTATGAATACTGTCGATATGTCTGTTTAATTGGTTAGTGCGGAGATTTATGACATATCTAGTCAAATTTACATCATACACTGATAATAAATACAGAACTGCAGAAACGATGAATCGTGGCCAGCAGTGAAATACACGACACGCGTTTCATCCTATTCGGGACTCGTCATCTGAATGTACCTGCATCTCAGGGTTGATGTTCACGCTGGAACTTGAACCTAGTATCGTTTGCTTCAAACGACATGGCGTTATCCACTTAGTTACTAAGTGCTGACAACAACCTGTTTGTGCGATGGGGTGAGGTTTAAATTCTGTTGTTGTTATTTGCTTTTATCTTCCTATTGATATTTAGGACAGTAGTTGATCAGCCTCTTATTTCGGTGCACATACATCCAACTGACGAATCTCAAGTAAGACGGGTTTACAGAACTATGAATGTTGTCAACAACAGGAATTTATAATTCATGTGAAATGCTTACAAAATATAAAAGTTTTTCATAGATGTTTTGTGCACCTTGGTTTCTTCAAATCAAACGAACATTCATAATAAAACAATCAAAACACATTAATACTGTTCACATAGAAATGTTATGATAGCTAACATAATAATAAGTTGGCAAAAACCTTAGATTAGACGGAAATCCGCAGTCATTAGTCACTAGTATGAGCCATATCTACAATTGTAGACTTCCTTAATATGATTCAATGGGTAGAAAATTTAAGTAACCAGACATAAAATTGACTTATTTGATGCACTTTTTAGCTTTTTCCTTCTTGCATTTACTCTTTATATTCTCGTTAATGTGAAGTGTATTTTGAAATGGCTTTTATTTCACAACCAGGATAGTGTTGCATTGAAATCCGACATGGAAATGAATGAACAGGAACAAGCGGGTGACAATGAAAAGGAGAAACAATATTCTGGAAAATTACAATTTTCATTGGATTATGATTTCCAAAAAGCTGAGGTATGAGTAAAAATATGTGTCCTTATATTTTCAATTAAGTATGTATGTAACAGCTTAGCTTGAATGTTGAGAGGCTTTGTTTATCTGAACAGGTAGTCCCACGCATTACTGTGACTGTGCGAAGATCTAAATAAAGACCTATTCACTACTAGTCTGGTTTCTTCCATGAATAGCACGAGGGTTACCTACAGGCACGAAATATATGCGTAAGTATGCATAGTTCCAGTAATGAACATAGAGACTGTGACAGTCTTCGGAAAGTCGAGCAAAAGCTCTTGAGAATTCCATATAAGTGACAAAAAATATGTAACGAACCATGATAAACTCTCTGCTAAATTACACCAGATTTTGGACAGACAGGTCATTTTAATCTTTCAGGTTATTATTTACCTTCGTTCATTTTTCACCTTTGATCTTGAATGTTTAGATATTCATTGTTTACTTCTTTTTCCCATATCTCTTGTTGTCTGACCTCATAAACATACGTTTAAGTTATGTGATCTCAAAACACATTCGTATTCGTGTGTCAACTGATGTTAAACATTAGCATTCTTGGATGGATCTAGTGGTTGAGCGTTCGCACACAAGACCAAAAGTCCTTGATTTGAGTCAAGTGTTTGGGATCGTAGGTGAGCAATCCTAAGGAGTCACATACCAAGACGGAAAGGTGGTTTAGTTTTTTCAGGTTTAACAGGGTGGTCTGGTCAAGATTAACTCATGAATTCAATCATTAAAATTACTTTCTCATTCAAATCCTTATTTCCCGTTGACAGTAACAAGAACAGCCAATAGAATATGCATAAGAAAAGCGCGATCTACTTTATCATCATCGTCTATTGGAGTAAACAAAAAGGCCAGCAGCACATTCAGATAGTGCATTCCGAAGAAAGTAAATAGACGTTTTCAATTATCAAATGTGTTGAGTGGGCAGAATGATCACCTAAGTTTGTTGACAAATATGTCGTCTGTATTTGACATTTTGTATTTCGTAAGTAAAGTTAAGTTACACTAATAGCCTGCTTGAACACCTGGTCTACCTATTTCTGCCCTTTGTATATCTCAACAAGTTTGTTTTCGCTTGTTTTAACACGTCATTGTTTATTGATCGCACAACCTAATAAGGTGCGTTTATGAAACATTTACAGCCTCCCGCTGCACAGATTACAAAAAAGCTTGATCACAGTCATCGTTGTTGCTGACAACATGCAGCGGGAACAATGTACATAATTCAGATGTCGGTTCCTGGACTGCCAACTTCTCGCAGTCCCTGGTTGCTAGAATCTTGGCTCGCCAGATATTGTTTGACATGTGTCTTAACCTTAAAGTACGATGCAGTGAGATCACTGTTCACTAGTGAGGGAAGATGCTGAAAGTCGATGACATCCTGTGTGAAGACAAAGTCCAGCAATGATGGGTCACGTTCTGAGTCAACATTTGTTGGTTTTGCGATACATTATATAAGTGCACACTGAATAATGGTTGATAGAAAGTCTCTATCGAAACGTCATCTGAAGGTGTAAGCTCTATACAGTTGATATGAGGTGCGTTGAAGCTTCCAATGGTGTGGCAATATTCTGCCTTACTCCAAACACAGATGTTTCTAAAGATAAAGTCGCCAGCAAGACAACATGAACTACGGTATATCCCTACTATAGTCACTAATCCGTTTCTGGACTTAATTGTGCAACATGTTACCTCACATGTACCACTAACGTGCGCCTCCGACATGATTCATTGTATTCGAAAGTGATCCTTAATGTACAATATTGTTTCTTTCCTTGGGACTTAAAACTATATAACTTCTATCGCAGATGTAGCCTGCAACGATGGGAGAATAGTCTATGTCTACTGTGAGCCAAATTTCTGTGACAACAATTACATCCAGACCTAATTCATTTACTATCAAACTTAGCACGGAAGTCTTATTTCGAAGTATACAGGCGTTCGTGTAGCACACATTTAAGGTCTTTTGGGAATCAATCGTCCTAACCATACAGGTTTCGAAAGCATTGGCTTTAAAGACCTGACTAGCTGACAATCTTTAATCATAAGGTTCGTTTCGCCATTTAGCTTTCGAGTTCTTAACTCCGTAAGAGCAATCTTCCACTTGATTCGATCCTCAAGAGGCCATTCTGGTTGGATACGAATATATGAATCATGGGTTTTGTGTGCGTTATTCAATGTCTCTTTCCTCGAAATTCATGAATATCAGCTTAAAAATCCTTCCCGGTTGAGTTTCGCCTCTAATCCATTAATCGAGTCGTATTACTATGTGATATGTACCCCTATCCAGGCAGTACATTTCTGATTACAGATCGCACTAACTGTGAATCGTATGTATGCAAACTAGAAAGGAGTTTAACTTCGTGTTCACGGCTTTCGGCCGTTATGTCAGATCCTGTATATTAACTGCTGGCATCTTACCGTTGGTTTTCTATGTATTAAAGTCATGAGAGTCGAGTGAATGACTCAAAACAATTCTTGATGAAGTCTTATTTTGAGACTTTGACGGAGTAGTTTTGGCTATTTTTCTTACTCTTCTACGTTTCCGCGTCATCCATTTTCCACTTGTCACAACATCTACACTGCTACTACTCGGAACGGTAGTGGTTTTATCAGGATCGTTGGTCACTCTTATAGCTGCTTGGTCCCCACTATCTATAGGCGTGCTGTTGAATAACTGCTTCGTAGTAAAAAGCTCAACTAAGTGCTGCACAGTCAGGTGTCTGGCAGGTGCGGTGACAGCACATACGACACTGAAGCAATCTTCACCGTCAGTAACAGCGCAACCACCATCTTTCTTCATGCAGGCCAATGCTAATAGGCTCATAGCCCTCTGGATTAACAACGTCTTATTTGTGCAGCAAAATAGCAAAGCCAATGCGAGTTAGGCTTCAGAAATCTTTTGTATCTGGTGGTACTTGAACGGAAACAAATCTTATGTAACGACTTTTTCCAATCATCGCACCGCATCCCTTCCTCCACAGGAAACAAACAATCAGATTGTTCACATTTATAATTACAACAAACCGTCGTAATCGGATTAGGAACGTTTAAAACACAGTGTGATCACAACATGAACACAAGTGTCAGTCAATGAGAAAGAAGGTACCACAATACAAAGTTAACCAAGATTTCAAACCTTAACTAAAGTACTTTAGTTAAAGTCGACCAAGAATGCTTTCGATACAACAAGTACACAAAAGCATTCATAAGCACAACAAGTAGAAAATCATCGCTCTTTTTGTTACGCGCGCGTCAAATCGGAGCTTATTAAATGTGATGTAAGCGTATACTACTACCATAATTTATGTGTAATTTGAAATAAGTTTATTTCAAATACGGTTTATATCACCTCATTTTATATATTTATTGAGCAAGATAAACTTTATGGACAAATCAATCAGATATGTGATAACCAGTCTTGAATTTTGGCGCGAAGGTTTTCATCCATTTGTCTAAAATGCTATTTAGCATTTTACGTGATGTCAGTTCATGGTGAAATGTAATTCTTTAACCTGATCATCAACTGTTAATTACAAATTCAATTTCTCAAACTGGTTTATAACTCGTAATTAGTCGTATTTATTTGGTAAACATTCTAAAGATCACTTGAACTTCTCTCAATGGTCTCACCTCTCAGTGTTTTATCAAACATTTAGAACATACTTAATTTTCTAAAAACAGAAGAGTGTATTTTCATGAAATTACTCATATGTATGTTAGCAAACATCTGTTGTGTTGGAGGAAAAATATATTACTTTTAGTATTTTCATCCACTTTAAATTAGAACTGGTCATAAAAATGCAGTGAGATTTCACTTGAATTTACAGTACTTGTTATGTTTGTGTTTTCCATCATGTATGTCACATATAGCTCAGCTAACAGGTTTTAGTGGTCATTATTCTGAGAGCAGTTAGATCAGATTAATGATCGTTATCGAATAATTGATGTCGAAATATATATGTCGTAAATCCTTGCAATATAACTAACGACTCAGTTCGCGTTAGCGAATAACAAAATAAGTCAAATATGAAAATGAAGTTTTGACTACACATATATTGATCTGGACAGACAATCAAAAAAATGAAGCGAGGAAAGTTTATGGAAGAGAGCGAAGCAAAATGATGTGTGATGGAGAAGCCTAATGAGCCATTTCAATTTAATCAAGTGTGAATCGATATTAACAGTCAGATATAAATAAGTTACAGACATATGATGAACAGGATAAGAAGTGCATACATATATGCTCATGCAAAAGCAGTCAAGCTTGATAAGCGAATAATTAACAAGATCAAAATATGGTTTGAGAAGAATGGATAAATTTTCCAGCCCAGAGGCTAGAATAACTTATGTGTGCTTAACACAGCGACCGACACAACGAGATTATGGAGGATTCCAAAGGATTAAAATAGAACATTAAATGAAAATACAACTGTTTCATTTCATACTCACTCACTAAATAAACATAAAAATGACTAAAAGGAAACACTGAATGAGATATACTTAATGAACATGAAAAATATTTTAGACGTAGACCCCAACTCACTCGTCCGTAAAAGACACTTGACAAAACCAATTAATCATTGACTTTTGTACAAAATTAAACAAGTTCAAGTCGGTTTTTGATATTCTTATACAATGTTTTTACAATTCAATGGTTAAATTGCGAAAATTTCTACCAACCCTTATTCTGACAATACTTATGATGTACTCACTAGTGACTAGCTTCAAGATATGTTTCCTGGAGTCCTAGTGTATAGACATGACCGGTGGAGTCAAACCGTGTCTGTTATGAAGCAGTTACTCATTGAACGCAGTAGTGAACGGCTGCACGATATTGTGGACTAGTTGAATTTAGACATTAACACTGTTATATACAGGCTCAGTGGTCTATAGACTAATGTTTCACGTATGAGACTTAAAGTCCTGGATTCGAAGACTATGCGCGTGATCGTGATGTGCACTGATGAGGAGTTTTATACAAGGAGGAAATGGTCATCTATTACTTACAGGTTTTTAAATGTTTGTCTAGCTTTATTAGATTCATGAATTCAATCATTAAATTCAAACTAATATTTTACCATAAATTACTATAATTTAATGTGTTTTACATTATTCAGTTAACAGTTGGTGTTATTCAAGCGAATGATTTACCGGCTATGGATATGTGTGGTACTTCTGATCCTTATGTAAAAGTTACTTTATTGCCGGATAAAAAGAAAAAATATGAAACAAAAGTACATCGGAAAATTTTAAATCCTATATTTAATGAAACATTTGTTTTTAAGGTAAGTAAAATAAACCATTATAGTGCATTTGAATACAGATTGAAGTTTTAATATACAGATGAACCAAAATGTTGATTAGAATTATAGATCTAATAGATCAAGTACTGCATTTTTGCAATGTATACACACAAACGAGTCATAAACATCAAATTTTTTGACATGTCAATTGAGTAATAGTAGAACATAGGAAGTGGGTTTCATCCTACTTAAGACTTGTTAACTGGAAACAACTGTATTGTATTAATGATGGATACACTGAGCCTTTTATTTTCGAATGTCAGACTACTATTCACTGAGGTACCGAATTTAAACATGTTCACACTTGCAATGTGGAATCAAATATATGGCAAAAGAATTTTCTATTCAGTAAGAAGAATGAAATTTCAAGTATACAGAAGGGTTGACCATGATGACCAAATATTAAGTTATAACAGCAGTAAATTAAAAAACCGTTCATTAGTTGAAGTTTGTGAAAGATACGTTACACCTAAACCGAAACACATTACACATTTCTCAATGAACAAAAGGTTAAAGCAACTCATTTCATATCCATCCTGTGTAAGTAAGTCTACTGGCACTTATTCATAAAAAGGTTTTTTAGCAAATAGACGAACCGTCATAAAATCAAAAGGCTGAAACCAGATTTTTCTCAATCATATAAAAATGTGTTCCAGAATTGACCATCAGGGTATTATAACACTTTGGAATCGGCCTTACGCAAAAGCTAAGATAATCACGTTATACCAGCTTTTGTAAAGTGAAAAACACATCAGCGAAGAAATACGAAACAATTTATGTAAACTTCAAAAAGTACCACAATGGTCAAGATGGACACTATATTGATATACAGATATACAAATATTGGTTAGTGGTAAATATAAGCAATATACTGTCAGTCATATCAATTGATGATGACAACTACGGACAAAGATATAGATTCTGAAAATTTCATAATTATGTTCCGGAAAAATTATAATAATTACAGATAATTTGAAGAATGCTAGTACCTAAATTAACTCGTTATCATGAATCACATCAACATGGATTCAGATTATCAATTCACCAGTTCAATGTCAAACAGTTATATAGTCAGATTCCAAGACAACAGTTGACGGGTATAATAGGACACATAAAGGTAATAAGACTTGAGAAGATAACTAGTTAGAAATGTGGTTATCGAAATGGATTAACGTGATGTATGTTAAATGATACTATCCCGATATATTCGAAGTCCTTTCGTGTAGTGTGGTAGTTAAAGAAATCATTTCTGAACTACTGTTGTACTACTAAGAAGTGCTTATCAGTATATGTGTTGTATTCTGAGATTCAATCTGCCCACTATATAGACTTTCTATGGTATATCAAACTAACAAGACTGAAATTAATAAAAATGTTTAACTAACATTCCGATTTATGATGTGTAAAAAATGTAGCCTGAAATAATCATTGGACATATGATCAACGTCCGTAAATAAAATGTTACCGGAATAATTTCCCAGTTACCTTTGTCCATATGAATTTGCATACATTCAAGCGGGATTGGATAAACATAAACTATTGTATTGTTTTTTGTTTCCTTCGTAGATTCCATATGCTGAAATCAGTTCAAAAACGATTTCGTTTACTGTTTACGACTTTGATCGATTTTCCAAACATGATCAGATCGGACAAATCAAAGTACCATTAAGTACTGTAGATTTATGTAATGTAATTGAAGAATGGCGTGACTTAAGTCCTCCAGAAGGGGAAGGTGAAAAAGTGAGTTTAAGTAATAACACTGCTTTTTTTCAAAAATGTTATCCGGAGATTTTCATGGTAAATTTCTGTCCTTACGGTGAACCTATGTGCACCTGTTTTAACTAATTGCTTCGAGGACATACGAAATCCATACATCAGAATGTCAGATTGTCGGGGTTGGTTTGAAAGATGCTCCTAAAGCATTCTAGCTCCCTCCAACTATACTTGTGTTGGAACAGCAAAGCGAGATGGTCTGGCTTAGTGATGTAGGCTAACTAGATCGAAACCAATGTCTAGCTTTTACTTTTGACTAATTCAAAACATCTAACATCAGAACATGACAAACATGTTACAATGAACGTCATATTACAGTCCGACCTATGAGATATAGTCTGAGGTATCAATTATCAGATAAGCATGATATTTGTCATCGCTCTATAATGAATTAATCGTCCACAATAATCACTACATTTATCCACAAGTTACAAATCGTTCTCTAGTTTGTGTAAATTGACTAAATTGTTGATTGGTTCATATCAACAGATTTCTTCGTAGTAAACTTTGTCAATTTATCATCGAACACCTGTCATGAACCGGATACCTCTGTGTAACTATGTATGACAATAAAGTGTAATTTCATATATATCTCAACATCTAAGCTTTAAATATATTGTTTGCGGTCATATAATCGGGAAGTATCATGTCACTTCAGATTAAAAATCCACTTTGTAATTGTCTTCTTCATATAATGTTAGACTTTATATCTCAGAAAAGCTTTCTGAATATTCTACATTATACCATTTGTTTCTTCACATCTTTATAGATGCATAGTTTAAGGAATTTTTCTACTATGACAAAACATCTTTTCATTAGTTCTTATGTTGTAAACATTGTCTAATTGATTTCATTTAGTGATATGAAAGTAAAATAAACTCTTTGAAATCATTATCACACTTCTCAATTTATTGTAATAAATCTCTAGCCTAAATTTACATTTGAATTTCTTATTTTAAAGGAAAATCGTCTAGGTGATATATGTTTCTCATTGCGTTATGTTCCAACATCTGGTCGATTAAATGTTAATATATTAGAAGCAAAAAATTTGAAAAAAATGGATGTCGGTGGACTTTCAGGTAGTTAACAGAGTCAAATGGTTGTTATAAGTAGTATGTATAAATGTTTTAGAATTATATGAGATACACAATTCTTATAGTCTGTGTAATTAATAATAATCATTATCACAGAATAGGAATATGGATTTCACCAGTGATGTACAATTTATTATGAAAATAGGGGTTTGTGGATTTCGTAGTTATTTTTTATTAGTTGAATTCATGAGTCAATTGAAGCTGAATCAACATAAAAAGAACTTGGTGGCAATGGATAACCGTTTCCTCTTGGTATGAAACTCCATAAAAGTAAGAATCCATGACCTTAAACGTAGGACTCAAATCCAGGGCCCTCTGTCTGGTGCACGAACACTTAACTTCTACACTACTAAGCTGGCATTTATGATGTTAATGTTTAAATTTGATCAACCCACGATATTGCGCGACCGTCCACCATTGTCTTCAGTTAGTAAGTGTCTTTAAAACAGACACGATTGAAATCCACTGACCGCAATTGATTGTTGAATATCTCATATAATTTGCAAACTACATATCGATGTAGATTCAATCAAAAATATTCAAGATTTAGAAAGTAAATAATTATTTTTTTAATTCAAATCCTCTAAGACTTATGATAAATTCTGAATAAAAATATAAGCAGAATGTAATGTGTACTCTACGAACCAGGTGACTGACACAGCACTTCAACGTTACACTCCAATGTGATGGAAAACAAATAGAGGTGAGGAACTTAGGAACAAGCTGGATATTCAAGGAGTTGAATGCCTCTTCACATACAGAAACCAAAAATGGTTTTAAAAACTTTGATAAATTATCAAAATAAAAGTGAAATAAGCCAATCAGATGATAATCAAGTTTAATGCGGAAATATGAACTAGTAAGGCGTTTTTGAGATCATTTTTTTCAGAAGAACTAAAATTTATTCTATAAATGTTGGATAACCAGGAGTCACTTTAGCAATTCATGTTCCACTAAGCCAATTTAGATCAATCAATGTTATCCTGACAAAATTCTATATTGATTAATCGGAGATTAATGTTTGTTGATCTGCATATTTAATCTAAACAATAGTTGAGATCATGAGTCAATTGAAGCTAGACCATTATGAAAAATCTTGAAACGCTGGACGGTCGTTTTGTTTTACGGTGGTACTACTTGACCTTGCCTCGCAAGATTCAAACTCAGGACCTATCAGTCTCGTGCGTGAGCGTGGTGTTAATATCTAATTCACATCGTTTGAGGCTGTTGAAAGATGTCTAAAATCAGTCTAAAACATTTCTTGAAACTCAATTAATCGTAATCGGCTTTCTTGAAAAATTCCATGAAGGAACCAATAAGTTGAATAAAAATGATTTTTATTAGTTTTATGTATGATACATTCGAAGCAAAAACCATAAAATGATAGAAGAAACCTGGAAAACATGAATGACATTTTACTTCCAAGTTTAGTTTCGGTGTAAAAAACATGATCTACTTGAATCATCTTAGTTTTCTGTAAGTTTCAGTAATTATCTATTCAGATCATCCATTGTTTTTCCAAACCTCTGTGGTAATTACTGTTGAAGTGTGATATTTCAACGAGATGTCTTCAGTTTTTCTTCCATCTTTTAAAAGGATTCTAAAAACCATAATATAATCTTTCATGAACCAATATAGTGAAAAAATATTTGCACTATCTTAAGGAGTCTATCGAAATCTCATATTTAATGTATAAACACACTTTCTATCACTCAATTCAGTCATGACTTGTAGCTCACAATAATATGTTCGTGAACTGTCAGACCACATGTTAATGCAGCCAAGGAATTACAATGTACGCACAGCTCAGTCAAACGTGGTGAAGAACAGAGTAATTGGAAAATAGTTATTTAATGCTAGATGAAGAATAATATGAAAACAATTTATAGATCGAACTAAAGCTTAGAAATAGAAGAATATAATAGTATCACAATCCAACAATCTACTAATAATCTTTCATTTAATAAACCCATAACTTATACTTTCACATTATTTGTCCTTTTATATTATTTCGTGTAATTAAATTTGTGATAGCGAATCAATCGGAAGTCGACAAACGTCTATCGATGGTAATTGGAAATGATCTAAATGACAAGTGCACTTTATTAGGGTCAGTGAGTCAATTTCCTAAGGCCAGACTAGTATATATATATATATATATATATATATATATATATATATATATATATATATATATATATATATATATATATATATATGAATGCGTATTTATGTATTTCATTCGGTGGCTTAATATACTTTTTTTCTCTCAAGTAGTCAGTTTTTCGGGGGTTATCACATATGGTATTGGATGTATCAGTATCAGAATTCAGGCATCGCACATCGCACAAATATTATCCCTTAAAGAAACCCATTTATTAATTTTTAATCAATCCAACTTGTATGTTTTGTTTCAAGGCGTTTAACATCAATCATTTAACTTTGTTTTAAACATTCCTTTTAAGTGAATACTTCTCAAAGATTGAACTCCTACTAAAGGATTGATCTATTAACATAAAATATTCAGGCTTCAATATAAAGATGTTTATGAATTGTTTGTGATCTTAACATTCAGTGAAGTTTCATGATAAATTTTGTTTTTCATTAACTTTCTTCTCTTTTTTTTTTAGATCCATATGTAAAACTTTCATTAATGTTTAATGGAAAACGTATTAAAAAAAAGAAGACAACAATTAAAAAATACACATTAAATCCTTATTATAATGAATCATTTGCATTTGATGTACCATTTGATCAAATACAAGTAAGTTAGTGATTTGAATACATCTAAGTGGTTTTCTGTAGCTACTTGAATTCATGAGTTAGACCATCATAAAAAACCTAAAAGCATTACACTGAGGTTTTGGTCTTAGTATGGGACTACTCAATTTAATTTTCTATAGGAAGGAATCCTATATAAAGTTGACAAATCATCTGATCACATTATTAATTCTCATTGATCAAGATGGTTAGAATATGTACTGCGTATACCTAACCACCGTTTACTTCTATACGTGAGTTCGTTTAAGTAGGAGTAAGCTGGAAAATGTTAAGGCAATCAAACTAAGACTCAATTGGTAATTTTATCTTGGATTTTCTATATGGCATGTCAACATGGTCAAATGTACAATTTTGCTAGGTTCCATGCTGATTTTAACATTACATAATCTGTATAGGTATTCTATGTTGATTTTTCATATAATTTACTCGAATCACCCAGATTCTGTTTTTAGTTCTTCATAAACATTAGCATTATAGTCCTCGAGGAGTGGCCCCGCTAAGAAAACCACCTACTTCGGTTTAAGCACATGAGCAGTATTCCAGCTCTCATATAAATCGAATGATTTATGTGACGCATATATATTTGGTACTTTCTTATCCCAATGTTTACATGTTTAAATAATAATACATTAATAGTTGGTGATGATTGAATGACGTATTCCAATACAGTTTCTTATTTATAATCTCACTAACCGTTTAACCTTTAGATGATATATAACTATAGGAACATGATATATCTATCAAATGTTTAGACTTTATTATGTTTTAAAATGGATTTATATCACTCTTCTATTATTTTAGAAAGTCAATCTAATTGTCACTGTTGTTGACTATGATCGTATTGGAACATCTGAACCAATAGGTCGAGTTGTATTAGGTTGTAATGCAACAGGAGCAGCACTTCGTCATTGGTCAGATATGTTAGCTAATCCAAGACGTCCTATAGCACAATGGCATACATTACAAGATATGCCAGAAAAGAATTAAATCTAGTTTTTCTTTTTAAATGTATACATCAAAGAATTCTTTTAAATATTCAATTTATATTATATCACCGCATAGCCTTTATGTAATTTGAATATTTGTGAACAAATTTTGCTTATAAACTCATATATCATGATTATTTATTTATTGTAACCAACTGTATGCTTTGATCATTTATAATCTACATAATAAAAAAGGTATATTATTCATTATGATTTAAACAAATGTATGCAGAATATCATTACATATTGTAATGAAGAGTTGTTCTTTGAGCTAAATAGTTTGGTCATGAAATTTTTCATTATTATTCTGAACAACATCATTAGCGCAAACTTTATTTAAGTAGATGTAAAATGTTTAAATAATTAATGAAAGTTTCATAATCAAACTATTCAACTAAAAGAATAAAGTTCCATACAAATCATCTACTTAACCTATAAGTTTTCATCACCATCTTAATCACTATAATCAATTAATAATTGCTAATGGTAATGTCATTCATTCAATGTTTACTGATTATTTAATGAATATTTAAAACTTATTATTTATTTATTTATTTTTGCATTTATTTCCATGATTTTCTTGACACAAAAGTATTGGTTGAGAAACTAAGTGTTGTAAAACCCGCCAAAAAGATTTTTTTAAAATTTGGTTGATTTAAACAATCATTTCATATTATATATCCATATATTTATGTATAACTTTATTTGAACGGGTTTTTTTTCGTTTAGTTCTTCTTTTGATGTATTTATGTTTGTATTGTATAGCTTCTTCTCACTAATTATAATAAATGTGAATAAATAGATCAAGAAATCAGTGAACATTTCATTGAGAAATTGTTGAAGATATAAAACAAAACATTTTTTTTTGTTTAGTAGACAGATCTGGAGAAAACGTTCAGGCTCCAGATAATTTGTACACTATAAAAAAAACTATCAAAACTAAAGTGAAAAGCTATAAATTTGATCATGATCCCATAATGAGTAAAATTATCACTAAACATTACTTTAAATACTTACTTACTTACTTACGCCTATTGCTCCTTATGGAGCACAGACCGCCGACCAGTATTCTCCAACCCATTCTGTCCTGGGCATTTCTTTCTTGTTCTATCCAATGGTTGTTCATTCTTCTCATATTTGTCTCCATTTCTCGATGTAATGCGTTCTTTGATCTTCGGGATTCCATGTGGGGACTTGTATTGTGACGCAGTTTGGTACTTTCCTTAATGTGTATCCTATCCACTTCCAGCGCTTCTTCCTGATTTCTTTCTCCGCTGGAATGTGGTTTCTTGTCTCACATAGTAGGTTGTTGCTAATAGTGTTCGGCCAACGGATCCGAAATATTTTTCGTAGACAACTGTTAATAAGCACCTGTATCTTCTGGATGATGGCTTTCGTAGTTCACCAGGTTTCCGCCTCATACAGTAGAACTGTCTTGACATTTGTATTGAAAATCCTGACCATGGTGTTGGTTGCAAATTGTTTTGAGTTCCATTACTTCAATTCATGTAGTTAATTAGATTCATTTATCTCATATCACATAATGTCTTATACTACTCTATCATGTTATTCATCCAAGTGAATACATTTTAATTTAGTCGACTGAATTTGATAAACAGTAAAAAAAGAAGAGTGGAGCAAATTTTTGTATGTTCACTGAATTTGATCACTACACTTTGTAGTTCAATAATGACAGATTTTAAAAGAATTAGACCAACTGATAATAATTTCTTCCAACACTCAAACTCAGGACCTTCAATTTCAAAGACTGTTTCACAACCTTTAGACCACTTAGTTAGCATTCAATTATGTCAGTGCCTAATTTCAATGAATTTTTAATATTTCATAATTTTTTTTCCATTGTTTGAGGTATATAAATGTCTCACAACTGACACGAATTAGACCCCACTTACATGAAGTCGTGAATTCAATGTTGAATGTACCACAATCTCCGCAATTCCTTATACTGATAAAAACTTGTTTTGTAAAATTACTAATCAAAGCAAAATTGAAGAACAATATAACAACTAATATGCACTAGATAAACATTTGTGATATCTCAGTAGAATAAAAGAAATGACTGAAGTCGAGTAATTAAAGTATCATGATGATTAAGAAGATTTGATTAAATTTGGTAAATGGATCAACGGACTTCACGTGGTTGTGATTGAAACTTGCTTATCACGAGACCTTAAATTGAAGAAATCATTATTAACATAGCGAAAAAAGTATTTCAGCACATTCAGATATCGATCCATTGACCAGATATAACATTAAAACAACCAATATTACAGATAGTCATCCATGTTCTGAAACGAGGTTCATCTAATTACAAAGTAATTTAGCTTAGAGAATACAATACATTTCCGGTTTGTTTATCATTTTTGTTAAGTAAAATTGTCCTTATCGGTTACTTAAATAAATGTTGATAACAAGCAGGCATTCTCGATTGTTAATTGAATAATAACAATAAATCTACAAATTAAGTAAAGTCGGAAATGAAAGATTACTGAAATCTAAGTGATACACACATTGATGTTTAGTGTTTGTGTGAATTAATGAATGTCATAGTTTGTGCCTTGAATTGACCTCAGTTAGACAATTCTTAAAAGCAGGAGGCTCTGTATGTCTGTTTTGTTCTAATAAGAGACTGTGTGCAATGACTCAACCTTTACTTTACAAGAGATAGAACCTAGGAACTTCGTATCTCAAAACAGGCATTTAACCACTGACTCAGTAGGTATAAAACGTTACCATGGATCCAATTACTAGTGCATACATGCTGAAAGCACAATATTAAAAATCAATAGAGATAGGATCAACAAAAGTTTACTTCAACGATGACTGGTATCATACGTATTGGGGAAATAAATGGTGGTATATGCACTTATGCATTAAATTGATAAATGAGTCTGCCCAAAGAGAACGGAATAAAAATGTCATATCTTCCCTGTGTTTCCATCATTTACAAACAATTCAGCTACTTTTGTCAGATCATAACAATCATTCTCTTTTCCCATTCAGTGGCAGTGATTCTCCATTGATTATGATAATTTTGAAATGTAATATTCATGCCCAGGTGCAGTTTAAAGAAACATGAAATATCAGTTACTATTGGGGAAGATAAGCCAAACAGTGGTGTTGAGTAGACCTTAACACATTTACGGCACATCAAATTAGTGACCCATGATGTTTTTCATTGATTAGATATACAAAAATGTCATGCTGTGATATGAATCAATTACTTATTGAATAAAAGTCCGATCAACGGCTAATGTTATGAACTGGGTCAAGATAAACTTTGTTGTAACTAGTTGTTACAACCAACCGAAGGTTTGAACACGTCATACATTTCATGCATTTATTATCCTCAAGTGAAATGAAAATAGAAATACTTATTATTTGCACAACAAAATCTCTGACAATACCAGGTTCATGAGGGATGAATGCTTTATTCAGACAAGAGAGTGAACATTCAATTGTACAGAAAGATTGATCACGCTGACCATATATCAAGTTACAACAGCAGTAAATCAAACGGCTCATAAGATGAGGTTTGTGAAAGATGCGTTACGCGTTAAAGAAAACTCATTGCATCATTTTCAATATACAAATGATTAAGGTGACTCATCTCATATACGTCACGTGTAAGAATTTCTACTGGAACAAATTCATAAAATGGATTTTTAGCGAATAGGCAAACCGTCATACAATCAACAGGCTGAAATCAGATCTTTCTTCATCATATGAGATATGTTTCAAGTTTCACTTTGGAATCAGAATTACTGAGAAACCAAAACCTTATACCAGTGTTTGCAAACCGAACGACACAATAGTGAATAAATACAAAACATCTCATGTAGACTTCGAGAAGTACCGCAATGGTCAAGATGAACACTTCATTAATGTACAGATACACAGACATTTGTTATCAATGGATATAAACAATGTTCTGCCAATTATTTCAGCTGATGTTGACAACTACAAACAAGAATATTGTTTTGAAAATATCGTAGCTGTGGTGTGAATGAATTTTAAGAATTTCGCATGATTTCGTAAAACATAGCACTTAAATCAGTTTTACCATGAATCACATCTATGTAGATTCGGATTATCAATCCACTAGGTAAATGTCACACAGTCATATAGTCACCGGTCGTCAAAACTGTTGATGGGTATAATAGGACGCATAAAGATGATCATACTTGAGAATATTACTGATTGGAAATAAGGTTATAAAAATGGATTGACGGGATGTATGTTGGATGAAAAGATAGCACACTTATCCTTACGTGAGTTAGAACGCCAAAGGAAATCTCGATATTACAAAATGTCAACAAGTAAAATATGTCGTTAAAACCGATCGCCTTAATTTTATGTCGCATAAATTCGCCAGCAATGTGAATGTTTCATGTTTAAACAAGTGATAATATCCTCATATATTCGAACTCATATCATCAAGTGTGGTATTTTGTATCAATTTACTGGGTCCGAAAAGCTACTAGCATACTCACTGTGTGTAAAATTATGCGTACGTGTTTGTTTGTTAATTCTATCAACTGAGAATGGACAGCTACCTCTGGTGAACTTACGTTCTCTGAGCTGAGTGATGGTCCACCTGGGAAGCTTTAATCGTTCGTCTGAACAAATTCATTAGGACAAACTTCAGGTAGGAATCACAGATTCGAATTTATCCACGTGTGACTGACGGCTTGTCCTCTCGACTTCGATCGTGATTAGTAAGTGCTAATCCTTAAACCGTTAATGCCCACGTACTTGTTTTACTTGTCTCTCTCTTTGAATTGACCATTATTGCTTCTATTGGTCCATGGTTTTTCTCACTAGTTGGAAATTTGGATCGATTTACATGTGTTTATGGATCATTGACTGATTTGAGAACCAAGCTTTCAAAAATTCTATGATGTTGTTAGTACCCGCCATATTCACGTTTTTTAACATCTCCATAGTCAAATGTTAGTTCTGACTAATCCGAATGCACTG